CTCCAAAGGATATGGAAGAAAAATGGTTTAAAAACAGGAGAAAAGTGCTGAATGCTAATTTGCTTACTCCAGAGCTGAATGGAAAAGGCATTAGGGAAAATACTCTGAATGGATTTGGCAGCCTGTGCCACAAGAAACATTACCCATAGCACATGCAGACAGAGCAGTTAAATGTCAAGAGGAAACAATACTTTGGTTTTTTCCTTGAAACTCATCTTAGTAGATATGTTGTTAAGAAGTGTAAATCTGTTATAAGACACAATTATTTCACTTATTAAACATTCTTTGCTTCTGCTAACAGCTGGGAAACCATGTGTAAGAGGTAAAACACATCCTCCTGATGCCTGGGGAGCCAGGTGTTTGGAAAGTCAAGGCTGTGTGTTCATGGGCTGGTAGAAACAGCAATGTTGGTGTGGGGTGCAGGGCAGCCACCCTTGGAGAAGAGACGTGGATCAGAATTCATGGCTGGAGCAATTCTGAGCACCCACATGCCCTGGCAGTCTGTCCTTGCTGCTACATCTCACTTCTGTACTTGGAGCTGCTTCCACACTTCACCTTTATTCCATTTAAAACACAGGTATGAGTCATCCTGCTGCCAGCAATGGGACTGCTCATTTCCCGTGAGTAAGTCTGCATGGAAACGACACTGACACAAAATGCTAGATTTATTTGCCAAAGACACACATGGTTAGATTACATTTATGTTAGATATCTGTTTTTTCTACCCGTCTCTTTTCTACCATAAATCAGTGCCACAGGATTGTTAAATAAATATTTACATGAAATACATAGAGAAGGTTATACAAATTAGGTTATATTGACATTGATGATCTGTTTTATATTAATATTTATGCTCTTTGGTTTGTTACAGGTGAATTATAAATACCGTGTTTCTTAAAGCAAGGTTTATTTAATAGCAAGTTTTGAGGTAATTTTCCTGGCATATTTTGTGGAAAGGTTGTTTTTGGAGCACAACTCTACTCAAAAATCCTGTATTTCCAAAAGTGATAGGGAAATTTGGTAGCATATTGGAGTCTGATGTCCCTGGAAATCAATCAGATCTGGGGCCAGAGGAACTTCCAGGAATCACCCAGGGTCAGGTAGTTCAGTTGTGGCATATCTTTCATAAAAGTAATGAGAAATCTCAGTAAGTTAATAAGCTTGCAAGTCATCAGATTTTCCACATGCAGTCATGTAGTGCAAATGCAATAGAGTGTATTAATAGTACTCCAATGTAACATTTTCCAAGTGTTTTGTAGTAATACTGGTTGGGTCATGTACTTCTAACAAGCATTAATGTTCCTTGGGGAAGACTCAGAGTATAAGTGCCTTATAGTACCATAAAATGTGGAATAATCAAATCTGTGAAGGACAGGCCACAGTGAAGCTGACAGGAATACATGATGCTTGTGTATTGTGGAACAGACATCCCCTCTATTTCAATGAGGAGCTGGAGGAAATTACTTTGAAGAATATGCATTGTATACATTAAGCAGAATGTAATTTCACATAATGCTCAAATTTCCTACTTAATCAACATGTGGCCGTGGGGGGCTTCCAGAATAGAAAAGGCCTGGAATTGCTGCTGTTACCCCAAAATCTTTGCCCGGTGTCCTTTGCTCCCCTTGTGTTTATTTTCAATAGCACCTGGCTCTGCACTGAGTTGTTGGACAGTCAGGGCCAGAGTTTGGAGAAGGTAATGATGAGGTGCCATATGGGTACCATTCCCATGAGTCAGTCTTTTGGTGAGGACATGCTAGAGTGCGAGCCTGACTTGTGGCTGAGGCTGAACAAGAATTGTGTCTCGACAACATTTGGTTAGTTGGCATGCTGTTATTTTGAGAAAAAAACAAACCCATAGTTGAAAGATGCATCCAGTTAAGAAAAGTTCCAGGTGAACATAATGTATTTGCATTGATGGACCACAGGGGTAAGGTTGTTCTTCCTTTTGTAAGAACTGTTCAACTGTTCCTGTTCACATGTCTTTAATTGATGGCAGCATTACGTAATAGATAACAGCCAGTGCTGCTGCAAATGATGGAAGGTATAGCTTTATAGCCTAACAATGTCTTTAAATTTCAGCCCCAGACTCAGTCTGATGTCTGACCAAATTTGTGCCCAAAGTTTGACCCTGTCCCCTGCTGCAGGGATGCCCAATATATCCTTACACATAGACATCTTCCCTGCTTTGTCTGCACTTAAGGATGCTTCTGGGCAAGGCTGTGTGTGAAAGTATGGACCTGCAGGTTCACATCTCCTGTGATTGTATGTCATGGCAGTCAGTTGTCACCTGCCCTGTGGTGGTTCCTGAGCTCTGCAACAGCAGAGCGTCCTGTCCCAACTTAGAGGGAAACATTCCTCACAGCCCTGGAGCTACAAAATCTTTTAAGTCAGGGACTGAAATATTTTGTTCTGTTAAAACTTCATACACACACACTTATACCCTACATATGATGATTTACAAGAACAACTTATGTTTTACAGATTGCATGAACTTCCAAGTATATTTTAATATGGAAACATTTCAGTTAATATCATAATCCATGTAATGAATTAACATCTGGTTCTGATTTCCCAAACCTCAGCTTCCAAACTCTTCAGAAATTAATGGGAAAGTCAGTAGACAACTTCAGCACAGAGTGTAGTATTAATTCTTCATGTCTGTTTCATTTTACTTTATTTAGACTTGAAAGATATTCTGTCTTACTGGCATGAGTTCAGAGATCTGCCCTCATCACCCATGAATGGGAACCACATCACTACATCCTCATATATTATAACTCAAAGGAGAATTTTGAGGGAGAACAGCCAGGGAAAATCAGCCCAATCCATGTCATGAGCTGTATGAAACAGTTCTTGTACTTTCCACTGGTATGAGCCTTTGTTGTTATTTATGACCTAGTTGTTAATTGAGATACTTGAATCAGCAGATTTAGAATTTATTTATTAAAACAAGTCTTCATTTCCCAACAGAAAGAGCCTTATTAACATCTGTCCTGTAAGCCAGTGAAGAACTGGGCCAATCTAGGAAACTCAGGTTTGTTGTTTCAGTCCTAATATGTCACACTATGGAAGATTTGCAGTTGATTTCGATGGTAATTATGAAACAAAAGAGGAAGGTTTATATAAGGGCTATCTGTGTGTGGCTTTCTGTGTCTTAAAATCTGTTTGTGTTGTGACATGTGAGATATTGCCATTTTATTTGGCAACTGCATTGGTGCATATTAGGTAATACAGTGTCAGGACACTGTGAGTACTGGGGGCTCCCGTGGGTCTGGGAATATCCCCAGGAGATGAAAGGGCATTTGTAACCAACCCTGGTAGGTGACTGCTAATTCAGAGTAACCATTTTAACCTTTCTTTTATGCATTAAAAAATTTTTGAAATTAACCATCCTTTTTTTCCTTTTGCATGGAACAATTTTTTGCCATTAGCATGAGTATGTAACTGTCACATACAAGGTATTTTGTGCCCTTATAAACTCAGCATGTGCTTTTTTGGCACTCCAATATTCCCTTGCTGCAGCTGGTAATTTACGCTCTTCATTCAATATAATCTTGCCAAATTATATGAAGTCTAGTTTGACCCTTACCTCTGTACATCTAAAAGTGATGGTATGAGCAATTTTTTTATGTCCAGAAGTAGGACTGAGCACTGCACTGGGGCTGCAGCCATGACCCAAGCTGGAGGCATGTGCCCCTGGGCTGTGAGACAGTCCTGACTGTCCCCAGCTGTGCAGGAAGGTGCCTGCATTGGGTCCTGCACATGGGCTGGCGGTGGAGTGCCTTCATCCTCTCAGTAAATCAAAGCCTATCACACATTGATTCAAATAAATGAGCCTTTCAGCTGGTGTCAATAGGATTTCTAGTTTCTTTCCCATTCCTCAGCATCCTTGGGTCCCCAGGGAATATAATCAAGCACAGGAGACTGTAACAATCAAGGCTTGGAGATTATGTGGTATCCAGGCACAGCCTTGAGGAGTCGTGTTTGCTGACATTAGGTTGACTACAGCTTTACGGTCATTTTACACATGACAGCACGTCAACTGTGTAAACCTTGCTGGAACAGGAGATTGCCTATGACTAGCTGCTGTGAAATGGAAATGATTTCTGTCTCTACATGGACTGAAAATCATGGCTGCTGTTTGCTAGTCATTGTCATTTCTCAAACTTCTAATTTAGTGTAATTTTGTAGTGGAGACAAGGCATTAAAGGAGCTCACAGTGCAGGTGCGTATCAGATCCCCACTTGATCAGTGCCTTCCATCAGACTGAACGGGCTTCACCTTGAGAGCACAGATCATATTGTATTTTCACAACTTCAGTAGAATTTTTTCCAAGGGAAATCTGTGCTCCTGCACAGAGAAGTATTACCCAAGGTTGCTTAGGGCAACGGAAATGAGCTGTAGCTGATGTGATTTCTGGTGGACAACCTGTGGATTCAGGATTTAGCATAACTGGTGTAGAGTTTGAGCCCTTGGGTTCCTGTGCTTTCAGGGTAACTGTATGGAAATGATACATGTGTTAGCCTGCCCCTTGCACCATAGCAATTTTGTAAATAATGATTATGCCTGTTCTCATTTTTCAGATTTAACAAAGCTATATAAAGTTTGTGGTGCAGTTAAATTTTAGTATAATAATTTAAGTATGGATTTAAGCATAGTTTTGTACAAGTTAACTACATTTTGCTTTAAGCTAGCATAGAAAAATTGAAAATGCTTTGACCTATTATTTTTGACCAAAATCAAATGTTCCTGTATGGTCCATAACCTGACCACTCCATGTGTCACAAGAAAAACAGAAATGTTCCATTTTTGTTTTTTGTGATATTCTACTTCACATGACTTGAAGTGCAGTAAAGATTAGGATAAACAGACTTTATGCAACATAATATCCAAGTACAGAACATTTTATAAGACAAAAGGAACAAAGACTCACACTGAAAACCTGCTGGTGCCAAATAATCATTTATTTTGCTGTTGTTGACTTGTCCCTGCCTAAATGACAGGGGCTTAGCCACAGGAAACAATATTCCAACAAATGCTTGTGAAACCCTGTATAATTCCTGTCACATCAAAAGCCTGTGTGAAATTGTGAGCTTTTGGCTTCAGTGCTCTTTTTTTCTCACACATACAGAAACAATAGATGAGAAAGTATTTATGCTTATCAAGCAAGAAGGCTACTTTGCTTTGCAAACACATCAATGAATCTTAAACTGCAGGTCTGAAGTTTGGGTGAATTTCAGGGCTGATGTCAAATATTGTGCTCAAGAGCTTTTTCATCATGCTCTCCATGTTCTTGTGGTAGCTGCTTGTGAGGTTTCGGATGGCTTCTGTTGTTTGCTCTTCTATTTTGGCAGAGAGGTTACTTTGGGAGCCCATTACCTGAAAAGCAGAAGACCTCTGAGCAAAATGAGAGGTTATATATAACCATGTTTATTGTACTTTTCTTCATCATGTAGCACAAACATAACACAAACACATCATAGTGCTTCTGAATCGTGAGGGTTTGACCTGGGTTCAACCGGAGGCATAAAAACAGGATTAAAGGCAACTCTCATATGCTCATTAGCAATGGGAATCTCCCTATGTAATGAAAGTTTCCCAGCTCACTGTGGGAAAAACATTGTGTATGTTTTGTCTTTTATATGGCTCATTTTCATTTGGTTTCTATTTTAATGACTAGGCAGCTAAGTTCTATCACTGTGTGCCTTCGTTTGGCCTCACTGAGAGTGCCTGTGAGTGCAGCTAAGGACCAAACATGGAAAAGCCTTCCTGAAAATGCATAATTACAGTTTCAGAGTACTTGAAATGTCTTCAGCAGTTAGTGATGTATAACCCTCAACAGGCCTCAGACAAGGTCTTTTAATGTTACATTTTCTTATCTGGCGAAATACCAGACAGCTTCTGGCACAGCAAGTATCAGGACATTCGCTTAGAATTTAATTGACTCTGGACTCACTGAACATTTTAGCAAGGTTATGTTATAAACAGATGCACACGTTCCAAATCTGTGACTTTGCTCCCTCCTCCCCCACTGCCCCAACATCCCTTGAATTCTTCCCTTATGGAAAAGTCCTTCAGATACCAGCAGAGAAACTGATTTCCAGCTAAAGAATTCCATGTGGAGAGAAGAAGACATTTCTGCAAGCTGGCAGAGTAAGAAAGGAATAAGTAACACATTGTTCTTGTTTCTGCCACGGTTCTCTGGGGTGGACTAGCAGGTGGAGCTAACCTGTGGTATATTAGTGGGGTACCTAGAGCATGACCAGAAACAAAGGAGGGGTCATTGACTCTATTTCCCATGTGGTTTCAGCCCAACTTAGCCCTTAAAAGAAAGAAAAGCATCTTTTGCATAGGCTACCTTCCCTTTTCCATTTATCAGTACCTGGCAACATAGTAAGACATTTGTCCGTAATCCACACGTAAACCATTTTTCAGTTTGGAAGAAATGTAGGTTGTAGACATAATAATAAGTATTGGGAAAGGATTACAGTTTTCTATAATATCTATTTTTAGCTGACATTTTATTATAACTTTTAGACAAGTTGCAAGGGTTGCATGTGGGAAAGGTTGTACAGCTTACACCAGATTTATGGAACTGAATTTTTCCACTGGGGAAAGTAACTTTCTAGAGATCCCAGATGGTTGCATGTTATCCAGCGATGAAATACTTTTGAAAAGTCTCAAGAAAAGAATTATAATTTTAAGAGGAGCCTCTGCAGACCTGCTTTCTTGGCACATGCTAATGTTGTCATTTGAGATAGTAAACCCTTACACTTCTATGTGTTTTCCCTCTCTTCTTCAGCTTCTGAATTTGAGGACATTTTTCTTGCAGAATGCAGGCAATGCTCTGCTTGGTTTATGATTTTTGCTGACCTTGAAGGTTTTTCCCTTATTTTTCCCGTACATGCTTTATGCTAGTGTCATTTCAAAGCTGCCAAAATATTACATTGGCTCCGAAGCCACAAGAAAATTCAGAACTAGACTGCACATCTCTAGAGTTAGGTGACCTCAATGAGTGAAAAAACAAAACTAGTTTGAGATTCAGGCAAAAAATTTTGCATGTTTTGAAAAGAGATTTTGCGTATTGTCGTTCTAACCTCAATATTTATTTTTCTGTTGTTGTTCTTAATTATGGATGGATATGAAGCCTCTCATAGTATAAGAAAATTTCCTCCTGTTTGGATACAAGTGACGCAAGGTATGAGGAAGGATGGCATTAGAGGAGACTGTGAAAGAGAATTAAAAATCCTTGCGTCCAAATACCCAAGAAAGTAAACTGAACCAGGCATCAGAGCTCCCCCCACACTGCCTTGCTGGAGCTCCTGGCTGCCTCCAGACACAGGTTAATAATGATGGCATTTGTCTGGGAAGGTGAATGTTCGACATAATGGGGTCAGGGAACATGGAGGAGGACTGCAAGTATCTTGTACAACATGCTGTCATTTGAGGAGCAATATGTGCTCTGTCCTGCTCATGTGAAACCTTCCATCAACAAATAGTGGCCTTTCCTGCAGCTTTAATTTGGTTGTGGTGAAAAAAATGGAGTTCACAAAAAAGCAACATCTTTACTCTTCTGCTATCAAGACCTAGAACAAGAACTCTGGCTTGACTGAAAAGGTGAACAAATGTTAGAGGTATTTATACTTTACTTTGGTGTCAGTAAACAACAGAAACTGTACACTTAAGACATTTTTATCTGACCTGCCTGTGTGACAGTGTGTCTGGGGGTTGGCAGGGTATGATACCAATACTGTGTGTGTATAGATGTTCCTAAGGGTTGAGATCCCTGCCAGAAAATGTTTTATGTGAAGTGTGACTGAAATGACAGGTTGGTAAAACAGATTTTGTTTGACCTCTTTGGCTTTTTTTTTGCTTTTTGTGCCTGCTTTTGCACAAAACTTTCTTTGTCATTGCATGATACAACCTGGGAGGAAAAAAACAAGACCAAGAATGTAGGAGGAAGTCACCTGGTGAAAAGAGAATGGTTTGTGAATTTCATGGAAATACTAGAGAAAAATGCAAGATGCCATAAATGTATAAAATGGCTTTATTCAGATAGGAAAATATCAAGTCAGACCACTTTGACTATAGAAACAGTGAAAACCTCTAAAGTTTTGGTGACTTCAGTTGACAAGGGATGTGGTCTTATATGTAATGAAAAGAGACAGCTGAAGTGGAACAGAAATGGAAAGAAACATTTTAAACTTTTGTTTTTACTGACACATCCATGTTACTGAATCCTCCAGTTTCAGGACAGGAACTACATCTGTCTGTGGTTATAGAAAAAGGACCCAAAAGTATTTTTCCTCAAGGGACATACATCTTCAAAGCATAAACACGAACCAAATATGGAATCTGGACCATTTTAGTGGTGAATGTCCACAATTTCTTCTACAAATGCATTCAAAGCCTGTGAAAAAGTCCAAATGAAGCATATAGACACTGCAGATGACACATCCTGTGTTTAATCAGTATGACCACACTGGTTTGCACGAGTCTCCAGGTAATACTCTTGGAAGCAATTTGCTTTACCATTGAGCAGTTTGGTAAGACAAAAGAACACACAGAGGTTTCTTACTTACGTTTGTTTCCTTGTTTCTAAATTCCTTCTCCCTCTGTAGTCTGTAGTGGTCTATCTCAGCTGTGGCTTCTTCCTTGGCCTGCTTCAGCCTTTTACCCTTTCCTAGAGGGGCAAGAAAGAGGCATTTATTTCATACCTTCCCTGTATCCCCAAAGATGAATCTCTCTAAATCAGAGATATTTTAGCTGCCAGAGTAGAACACTGACTTTGGTGAAAGTCTTGTCCATTGGATTTATTTGCACAAGAATGGTCAAAACAGACAAAGTGATTTATTCAGAATACTTTTTGACTGCAAGCAAGGGGTCATGCAAGACTAACTTCTTGTGCAGAAGCACACCTCAAGTGAAGAGCTTTGTGATTTATTGACAACAGAAGTCTTTCTGCAAGTAGACATCTTTCTGCAACACAAATTCCTTTTTTCTAATGACAGCTTGGTGTTTAAATAAATATCTATCTTTTCTTCATCAGCAATAGTAACAGCCAGATAACAGATTTTAGTTGTCACGGATGGGAAAAGACGTTATTCTGTAAGATTTCCTGTATTGATTGGTTGCCAGAATCCCTTCATCCCACACCAACTGGATTCTGCTTAGAGCTGGCAGATATCCAAAACAATGCAAGATGTCTTAACCACTACCAAACTGAGTTGCAACTTTCAAGCTTTGTCCTTTCTTCCCCCACTCTTTTCTACTAACCTTTGTTAAAAGCAGAGGTGGGTGACTAAGAAAAGAAGGTCAATTCTTTGCCAGTGCACAGAAACCATGAAAGGGATTAAATGTTTTTTTGCTTTTCATTTTAAACAAGAAGGAGATCTGTAAAGTGACATTTCAGGGTGTAGTGGAAACTAGAGCCTTCCTCCTCACCAGGCTTGCTCGCATACCTAATTCTGTTTGCTGTGAATAGTTTGTTTTAGGTAAAACACTATGGGCTTGTCAAATCAAGAGCGTGTAAGTCACTGCAGGACGGGACATAAGATCCTTCCTGGATCTAGTAGGGTTGTCATGTAAAGAACAAGAGTAAATGGTTTGATGGAAATATGATGTTTAAGGTTCTACATGAAGGAGCTGGCAAGCTTGTCATGAAACCCCGGTGGGCTTCTCTGTCATTTATGAAGTCAGTAAAGTTGCATGGAACTCCTCAGGATTCTGCTGCACTACCTTGTGAGGAAACAGTAATTTTCTAAGTGTACACCTCTTGCATGGAATGTTGGTATGCTATACTTGATACCTGAGCTGGTGCTGATTTTTGGGGTCTCTTTCTGCTGTACAGCTAGAATTTTAGGAGTGGGAGGAATACGGTTGCTTCCTTTTCTTAACAAGAGAAATATCTTCAGTGGCTGAAAAATTGCTTAGTTGCTTAAATTAGGATATCACAAGAATGTAAGAGTGGCGGCCTAGGCAGCTGAAAGAGCCATCTTGATCTCTTGTGGCACACTGATTTATTTACTTATGATAACAACCTATTTAACACCACTGAGCAATATGAACTTTTTTTTTTTTAGGCTCTAAATTCAAGCACAGAAGAAAAAAGATACCTTTTCTCCTTTCCTGAAATCCTACAAAACATTCTCTGTCTAGACTAGGAAGACAAACATAAATATTTCTCATTTTCTTTCTCCAAGCTGTTACACTGGTTTGGTTACATCTGAGCTGGGCTTCTCAAGCCTTATCAGGTATGTCATATAGCAACTTGCTCCCACTGAACACGGCATAATGAGGAAGCTGAAGCTTGGGAGGAAGACTGTTTTAATACATCTGAGAATCAGCAAAAGCCTGGGTAAAATACCTGATTCAGCAAGAAATTACTTCTCCAGCTGATTGCTCCTTCCAAAATAATTATCTGCAGATGGGTGAGTAGAAGCAGAGAGATGCACAACATGGGAATTACCTTTTAAGTCTTGATTCCTGGACTGTTGGCTTACTGTAGAACCTTGGGGGTGGCATGTACACAGGCTTTCTACAGGAAGGAGCAGCCTACTGAGGAACTAGATAGCTTTATTGACTCCCAGTCCATCAGTGCAGGGCTGTCATGTGGGGGAAATTATATTTCTCAGAGTCCTTCTCCCTTGAGCCACTGTGCTTATGTATGAAGGGGAGACAGGCTGTTCTAAACCTAATGGGTACTTTTCCAGAGTTTGTATTTGTTTGAAAAAGGCTGATTTCTCCCAGCTTCTGCCACTCACTGTATGAAGTGTTTGGACCAGGATGAGCGAACTGACAGATCTGTGTAAGAGCCTGACATAAGTCTGGACAGCAAAATTTGGAACCAGGTTCAAGTCTGTATTTTGAAATTTCCCTTATTCTCCTCTCCAAATTTGGAGCTGATCAGCCTTTTGTAGAGTTTCCACTTTGTAGGAGTGGAGCTGGGGGGTGATTCTCTGGAGCTGGCAGTCAGGGGGAATGACTATGATGAAGCTTTGCCAATTTCACCAGCTGAGGAACTGGATCTCTATAGCAAATTAAATTATTTCAAAATCAGTGGGATTTTAATTTCAAATTCCATCTGGGGGGCCATCTGTAGTAAATATGTTGCATATTTGGCCACCAGATAGATAAATATATCCATTTAAATGCAGAAAATGGAAAGAGATTAACTATAAAACAACAGTTCAGTTGCCTCTGACAATGTAGACAGTGAACCAAAGAGTGTATATATACACACATACGTGTCAGCTCTTGACAGTGCTCTGGTGTAAGCACAATACATAGGGTGTCACTGGAGGGTGGCAGCCATTTCATTTTTCCATGATGCCTTTAGGATTGGCACAGCAGGAACCTGCTGCTTCCTATTTAATTAAGTGGAAAAGCTGTGAGTAAATTACTGCTAGTCCAACAACGTTGTGGACAGAATCGGCAACTGCCAACATATGCGATGGTGCATATGCTGCACCTGATTAAGTTAAGCAGAAACTAGAGCTTAACCTGCTGTTCCACTAGGGACAAACCAAAATTAATTAATCAGTCTGTTGTTAACCACTTGTCTGCTACCGTAGCTGTGCAATACAGGACTGCCTTTTCAAAGCCTTACTGATCTGCTGGGCTGGTTCTCTGCAGAGCACAGCCAAGCTGAAATCAACCCTTACGCACTGAAGGGGGTGGTGGAGCACTGAAATTCGGCCAAAATCATGCAAAAAGAGGGAAAGAAGTGCTGGAGGATGGGCAAACTAGCCTGGCCCTATGACATTTCCTCAGGATCATAGAGGTGAGGTACAGAAAACCCCAGATTTGGAGAGATATTTTGCCACAAAGGTCATGCTGTGGGAGCCAGGATTGCTGGCCCTCTGTCCCTCCTTCCATCCTTGAAGATGGGGAGCAGCAAAGCAGCTGTGCTATGCCTGGTTTCCTTGTCCACAGCCTATAAATTTTTAGGCATTGTGTTAAATTGGCCAAATTTAAAAAAACTTACTGTGACCAGTCAGCACTGTACAGGATTTTCTTGCCTAACATGGCAAGGTGTTATTAGCATAGAGAAAGGCTGTATTCTTCTTTCTAGGTATTTCTATGATGTTCATTAAACACTTTGCTCTGGTTAGATCCACAAGAACTGGTGTCTTTTAGGTTGTTGGAGTTTTTTAGATCTTGTAAGAAAGACAGTAGGAGGCAAAAATGTTGCATTCTAATTTGTTCAAACACTAAGTTATCTTACTTTCCAAAAACTGCAATGCTAAAATTGGAGTTTTGTTTTCAAACATACCATCTAGGCTCCTAGCTGAATTTCTGCATAGAAATCAAGTCGTTTGAAGAAGCTGCCAAAAATTAATCATATTTTCTTAAAATAGAACCATTTCAGTTGTCTTTGGTAAATTGTCTGGAAAATGGGATTTGGGGATGTGCATTGTGAGAAAACGATTTTGTACTTTTAATAAAATAAAGTAGAGGCAGCTGAGCATTATGTATAGCTTTCTCAGTAGATAAAATATGTCTTGGATATTGTCCAAGAGAGTGCCATGGATATAATTCTGTTTACAATATCTTATTTTGATTAACATTTGGTTTTAATTTGTTTTTTTATAATCTTTCATCTGAGTTTTCTTTTTATTAGGCATGAGAAATTCAAGGGAATATATAAAAATCTATAGGAGAACAAGTTTTGCTAAGCCCAGTGTTCATGACACATTTGTTTCCCTTGTTTTACCCAAAAGGATTTTCAGGAATTGATGTCTTGGCACTGACAATGCTCAGTTATTTCTGGGATCTAAACTGTGCTTAAAGTAAAAATGATAGATAAAGCAGCACCATGTTCAAATTGTCAAAGGATTGCAGACTGGTTTGGCTTGTGTTTAATCAATCTAATAATTTCAGCCTTGCACATGTTCATTTAATTAATTATTTCAAATATTAACAATTTTTCAGGTATAAATTGTATCAGCTAATGATATCATGCCAGAAAAAGGGTATTGAGCAAGAAGTAAGAAAAAGCACGTGTAGAGGATCTTTAGCATCATATTTTTTTTGTTTTGTGTGTATCAATATAATTTTATTCACTGATTTTTTCAGTTATTTCAAGTGGTTTTTGCATTACTAACAACTGCACATATGTCAGCAAAAGCTAGGCCCATTAACTGTTTATACACAATATTATGTGTGTTCACACTACATTTTGATTGGTTATGTGAGTATCAACTGTAAACACGGAAGGCTTTGCATCAGGGTAGTTTTGCTAGTCCCATTTCCTTGCAAATGCCTTTTCCTGGTGTGTCCCAGGAAGAAGCTGCCAGCTGCTGTCCCAGTGCCAGCACAGCAGCCAGACCCACGGTGCAGTGGTGTTGTGCAATGCCTGCTTGGGGTGACAGACGAGGTCACAGGGCTGGGAGGGCTCAGCGCTTCCCTGGCAGCCCAGAGCTGCAGAGCAGGCCCTGAGCAGCAGCTGCTGATCCCAGCTGGAGCCAGGTGGATCTGAGCTGCCCATGCTGGGGTGAAGCAGCACCTCCCTCCTTGTTCCACCCAGCTGAGTGTGCACAGGTCAGCCAACTGCACTGCACAGATCTGTTGCATTTCATGTATTGCTTTTCAGCTTAGCTTTTATGCTCAGAGACAAACTCTGCAATCCTTTGTTTTGATCTAACTGCAGAATCAATGTGGGGAAGACACTGCTGAAGTAACTCCAACTTAGAATAGCCAGACTTGTCTCTAAAATAATCCCTTTTGCCCTTGTCCCACAGTATTTAACTTATGCTGGCATAGTTATCTAAGGTGGTGTAGTGACAGTGCTATGAAAATACTTTAATCAGGGACAACATGGGCAGTTTGTTTTGTAGCTTCACTGCAAGCTTCTTTCAATGTTGAATATAATGGTTGTCCAGGTATATTTATGCTGATTGCCTACAGATTACCTTTAACACTTGGTTTGGAACAAAATCCAGGGTGGGTTTATTTAAACTGTTTGCCCTTGATCAACTAATTTTGGAAATTCTTGAGGTTTTTCATGGAATCACACTGAAGTGCTGAGGCTGGAAGGAGTCCATAGGACACACTTCCTGATGGAAGCAAGGGCAGCTTGATTGGGGCCATATCCGGTGGGTTTTGAATGTCTCTGAGAATGGAGATTCCCCAGCCTCTGGGCAGTCTGTTGCTACCTCACAGTCACTGGGTTGTTTTGTTATGTTGAAATTTGTGTATTGAAATTTTAATTTTCCTTAATAATTTTTATAAATGCAAAAAATTATGATCTTAAAAGTAATAGAAAAGAAAGCCATAGTGATGATATATTTTTACTCTGAATAATTTTACTGATAGCAAAATTCTTAATAGCTGTTTTTCTGTAGCTGGTTAATAACTCCTACTGGTGTGTTAGTGTTGAGGTAAACACTGGTAGTGGTTTAATTCAAGTTTCTGACTCAGAAGGGTCTGAAGATACTTTATCTGTAAGAAATCCTGTTTTTATCACAAGCACTCCAACTGAGGCTGAGGTGGTGACAAGGGAATGTGTCTTTTGCAGAGTAGAGTAAATGCACCCATAACTGTGTCTGGATTCTGCAAGACATTCATCTTTGATCATCAATTTTATGTTATAATTGCTCTTTTCATTTTTGGAGTTTCTTAATTTATGGATTTATCCTTTTTAAATGACTGTTGTAGAAAAAGCTAAAGTGACTCTTCTGGTTTAAAAACAAACACAAATCAAATTAAAGCCACCAAAAACCCCCTCCAAACCCAAAAGTAATCCACTTCAAGCTAAGACCTGATTCTGTAGTCTGTGTTCTGGCCAAACTCCTTCCACTGAGGCTGTGGCTTTCTAGGTAGTGTGCTCTCTTGATTTGAGGGGCAGTGTTTCCTTTGCCCTACATGAGAAGGGAAAAACCATCCCTCCCAGAGCTCCTAGCTTGGCTGTGGAAGAGGTCAAAACACTACTTAACTATCCCTTGCCTTCAGGTTTCTGCCTGAGAGTTCTGTTTTATGAAGGTGGGAGGATTTGCTTTAATCTCTACTGTCTGCAAGGCACAGGCAGTGCCTGGGTGCTTAGGGAGGGGACTTGCTTTTCTGTTTATTTTTGTGTGCTGCTGTTCAAATTGATACATCACACTAAAGATTAATGAGCATACAACAATGCTGATTCACATGCAGAAGGGATAGGGAAACTATACAAATTATTCTGTTTAGCTTCCATTTCTCCACGGAAAACAATATTCCTTTAATTGTGCTCTTGCTCCACATGACATCATTGACATCCATTTTCTTTGTATTCTGCTGCTGGTTTCTGAAGCAAGATCACTCCAGAAAACAGCATTAATGTTCCAGTGCTAGTGCAGGTCAATGACTCATGTGGTTGTACTGCACTCAGGAGAATAATTGCTTGTACCATGTAATAAAACTTCTGTGAATGATCTATTACAGTACTGAGAGTGCTCACGGTTTTACTGTGACTTTGATTACTATCAGAGTGTTGAAGTCTCCTCTTAGTTTTCATATAATTTTTTGAAGCCCAGCTTCAATTAGGAGACAAGTTACTGGATTTTGCAAGTAAGGAGGAAGACCAAAAAATCTTAGCAGAACCTATTAAGAAAAGTAAAGGGTTTGGAGTCTAGTCCTCCAGAGCTGGCAGCCAAAGGCATGTAAGATTTTAATTTAAATAGCAAGGCAGTAATGGCATTAACAACACTGAGATAAAGGAAAAACAAATGCGGCTGACAGGATGAATATAACAAAGAAAACATTTTTTAATGTAATAAGGCACATGTACACGTAGATACAAGCACAGGAGATTTTAAGCAAACTCTGAAAATTCAGGTTTGAGTAAGTGCCTGGCTGCAGTCAAGGCACAGCACTAGTGCATGTATACAGATGAAATAATCTTTTTCTGTGAGCTACTGTTATTCTGAAGGGCTTGCACTTGAGAAGTACAGTAAAACCAGGCCAACTACTTACTTTTTTTGGCTTCCTCCAGTTTGTCCTTGGCACGTTTTTCTGCCTGCAAAAGCTGCTGGATTCCCTGAGACTGGCTGGTCATGCTGCTTGCTGGGGCTGGTGAACTTCTGTGGAGACTGGAGCTCAGAGGGAGTTTTATACAGCTGCCAGGCTCTTCCTTGTGTTTTTTGTTCTGTGTGTTATTGCAACAAGCTTCCAGATTGTACCAATCCAGCTGGCTGTGCCTGGATTGCTGCTGGGCACACAGGCCTGGGAGTGCAGTCAGAAAAACACAGCAGTGAGGCTGAAGGGAATGTCCTCCTCTCCTCAGGGTCACAGAGAACTTGAAGTCTCTGATTAACACATTGGGGCAAAAAAGAGCACTTCAGATGGCTTGTATTTTAACAGGGATTTTTTTTTTTAGGCTCTTATTTCTGAAGCAGAATACAGTTAATCTTGTCTAGGAACTGAGGGGAAAAATATTTTCTTGGCATTTCCTTTAAAACTTCCCCTCAAAGTGAAAAATCAAGTTCAGTTAACAATTAATTTTGGTTGAACACCAATAACTGCTTGCAGGCTTCTGTTTAATGTTACTTCTCAACTGTACTTATTGGGGTTTTCACTCTAAAAAAATATACAGTAGGAATGAATTCATTGGGGACTAAAGTTTAAAAAAACATTTAGTGATTGAAGTACGCTCTGCCTTGAAATCTGCCATGATGGAGGTGAGTGGAGATGAGATGGACTGAGAAACTCTGGGATTAGCTCTAAGACCCAGACTCTTGCAAGGTATGAATGGTGGGCTAGGTTTTACTTTCAAGTCATAATGCACACAACAGTCAAATGAATGCCTGTGCATGACTGTAAATGCACATCCCATTGCCTACAGAAGGGAAGAGTGGTTTGAGAGCTACTGCATGAGGAAGCAGCATGTTCATCTTCTGAATCCTCATTAAAAAAACCAAAAAATCCCAGCTGTTACAGATACTTCAGCCATTGCATAGGAGAGGGACATGTCATGTTGCATAATTAAGATAGATTTATTTTTTGTAAAAAAATACCTCACAGCATGAGTAAAGTTTATTTATTTCAGGTTCTTGATAAAGCTCTGCCAGGACTGGAGATGACCTCCTGATATAAAAGTTTTTTTCATGCTGCAATTCTATACACATAGTTATATATTTATACATGTGATACAATTTCTGCATATATTATAAAATACATTTATATAAAAATTATTTGGTGCTGTCTGTTAATGGTTCTTATTCTAAGGCCCTTTGTTTTCTGGGGCTTCCCAGGGCAGCTGTGTCATGCTGCTACTTTGCTGTGCTAGGCTGTTACCTGTTCCTGATGAGGAAATGTGTACTACATGAAGTAGTCTATTAAGTTGTTTTTTTCCCCTGCCAAATAGCTGCAGGTTTGAGAGAAAATGGAAGGAGAACCCTCTGGCCCCATTATTGTCTTTGGCAGTGCCCTGAACGACAGCAGCACTGAGACCTGGAAAAGGAATTTGTTTTGGTTTTTGTTCTACTGTTTCTGTGCTATTGCAAAGTCAAATTTCACTCAAGCTCCGCCTTTCTTACAGTGTACCAAACACTGTGTTTATTTCTCAAACACTGAGTTTATTTCTTCATCCAGGAGCTGTGTGACATGCTTGCTTGTCTCCAGCACTGAAACCAGAGGTTCACTCTAACTGCAGGACAGCAGACACGGCACTGTTTTTAGAAGATTTTAATGCGTAGCCTTGAAGTTTATTTTATTCAGACACAGAAGAAATGATGATCAATTCTACAGAAAATGTAGAAACTGGAGGGTTAGGAAGCCATTTGCCACTGTGATTCAGCTACCAGTGATATTACTGGCAGAGAAAAGCAGAAGTGGAAAATGAAAATAAAAAATGAAGAGATCTGGTTTACTTGGGGCAGGAAACTTGAGCTTCGAACTTTAAAGCAGAAGTTACTTAAAAATTAAATAGGAAGTGGAAATGTCAGGCTTGTCTCAGACATCAAAAGTAAATCCCTTTCCAGGCAAAGGGTCTCGTCAAGCAAATCTCACTGCTGCGAGAAATGTTACAGAACTACTGGCAAATTAAACTGCTTCAGTTTCTGGACTTGGCTGAAAGCATTATGGGTGAGACCCTTTGAATCTTCAGAGCAGTTCTCAATAATTATAGTATTTGGGCATCACTAATGATCTGAATTTTGACATTTACAATCTATTAATTAATTTTTCACAGAAAATGATTCTATATGATGAATTTTTAAGGAAAAAAAGATACAATCTTCAAGAGACTATAAAGTTCTTCCATTGTGAAAAAATTGATATATTCCTTAGGCAGATCATTTGAGCTGCACATGTCACAGTTCACACTTTTAATATTTTTCTGAATTTAAAATAAGTCTCAATTTATAATTTTCCTTGTGGCTGGTTTCCATACAGTGGGGTGGCATGCCATGCTGGCCCTCATGGCATCAGGTGGGTAGTGACACACATCTGCAGGGGAGGAGATGATAATTTATTTTGGCTGGTGCTCATACACATTTTGCTGGACTCCACACGAAGTACTGCCACTTAGAGCTAATTTCAAAGCTTGTCTGATGATGCTGGCGATGACCTCAGACTATGCTGACATGGCACCTCTATGTATCCCACCTCATGGATAATTCATTAAAATAAAGTAGGTTAAGCCATGGACTGGCCAAGCAGGCTCCTACTTCATCACACAAACCAGTAAGAAACTTCTCTGTGTTGTAGTTGCTGGCTTTCTTTCCAAGTCAGCTCCAGACTCATTTAATTAGAAAAGAGAAGCTGATGTGGTGACTGGTGATGGGGGCAGGAGAGGTGTTACCAAAGTGAAAGAGGGCAGAGAAAGGAGTTTTTTTTTAAAGTCTCTTTTCTTCTCAGCATTTTGTCTATCTATCTTGGCCTCCAGAATTTCCTGAGCCTTTTCTGGTTATCCCAACAGACATAAAGGGAAAAATGGGCTCAGTTCTGGCATTCTTACTCCTTCAAAGCAAAGCTGTAGAACAAGAGTTCTTGAAGTGTTACAAGTGATAAGAGACCCTGCTGAGCTCTCCCTGCTGACCCACAGCTTGAACAGCAGAAACACTCTAAATCAGGCATTTAGAGTTTAGATGTAGGCTGTGCAGCTGCTATTTTATCTCTGCAGTGGGAAGGCCAGGGCCAGTGGCTGAATTCACCCCAGGTAATTCAGATTATTTGGAAAAAATCTGTTTGCTGTAACTCAGATTGAGCCTTATCTAGCATGAGTTTACCACCTTCTCAATCCACTTACTACTGAGCAGCCAAGGTAGTGCTGTGGCATCCTTTTATTGTGGTTTAAGTGTGCATAGACTCTCCTGTATGTAGGAGGGCAGCAGGCAGAGTTTCCACTGAAACATGTTGAACTTGAAGGTCTCCCATGCACTGTCTCTGTGGCTGTACTTCCCAAGGCAAACACTTGAAATCTCTTTTTTTATAATTAGGAACCAAATTCTTTCCAAATGAGCTGCTATGACTGCTAAGTAGCGCACACTGCTCAGGCTGCAGATGTTGATTCACTGATAAAGCCCAAAGATCAGCAGTGTGTCAGGCAGGGCAGCTGCCTTGGGTGCTTTTTTGGGTTTGTGTGCCTTTTGTTTCGTTGCTCTAGAAAGGCCTAAGTGAGGAAAAGCAGGGTGCACACCTGCATGGCTTCTGCAGCACGGTGGGGGCTGTTCCTCCTGAAAATGGAGCACCTTCTGATGCAGTAGGATCTGTCAGGCTGAGAAAGAGAGATGGGCTCCAGTTAGCATCAACAGCAAAAGCTCTTTTTACACAAGCATGGTAAGTATGCAGTGAAAACCATCACACATATCTGAAAATTATGGCCTTTTCTCTCTGAATTCAAAACCCCTGTTTACTTACATTAGAAGAAAAAGTTATGAAGTTTGTACTGAAGTTGTAATCATGTCTGCAAGCTAAGATTCTTGCTGCAGCCGTTTTCTGACACTGAGACTTTCACTCTGATGACCTCACCACAGCTGACTTCAGCAGCCTGAATTTCACGCATCAGCCTGAAAAATATGGGAACAAAAAGGTATGCAAAGATGAATAAATATTAAAATATTGCTAGAGGCAGCTTGCTGCCACACTGTCTGGGTGAGCTTATTGACTGCTGGCCAAGTCTGCAACACAGCTCCAGCTTCAGCTGGTGTAGCACTCTGATGACCCTGTACTGAACACACTTTAAACCAGCTCATATTTTTTCCTAAATGTGGCCTGTGTCTTAATGGAAATAATTTTTTTTTTGCAACTATAGGAGGTTTCACATTCAGAGACAGCCAGTGTGAGCTGTATATTTAATGAATTTTCCTAAAAATCTCTTCAACATCCAGGAGAAAAGAATAAAGAAAGTGTTCTTTTAATAACTCTCACTACCCATGTGAAAATTTAGGTAGAGAAAATACTAATTTTAAAAAAGTGCAAAAGAAACTGCAGCAGAAAAAAAGCCATAGTTTCTGTGTCTGTAACTTCCAGGTTAATTTATAATTTCACTGTCATTATGGTTGTGGTTATTTCCTATTCTCAGTTTATGGTGTGATCACCTCAGCCAGCAAATCCCCAGCCAGCAGATCACATACTCCCCCACAGTGGCATGGAGGAGAGAATCACAAGTGCAACAGTGTGAAAATGTGTGCGTCACGGTATAAAAACAGTTTTAAAATGAGGGGAAAGGGTAGGAGGACACAAACTGACCAAAAAGAAGTCACTTCTGACCTCCCACAAGCAGAGCAGTGCCTAGTCAGCCTCCAAAGAGGGAATTCTGAGGAAGGGCCAAACCCCAGCTCTGTGGCTGAGCTGGCACTACGTGACACCCCTTTGGTCAGCCCGCGCTGCTGTCCTGGCTGTGCCCACTCCCAGTTTCCTGCCAGCCCCATGGGGCACAGAGCTGAGGAGCAGAGAAAGCCTTGACACCCGGCAAGCCCTGTTCAGCAACACCTCCAACCCTCCAACACTGGTGTGCTATCAGCACAATTTGAGTTGCAGGCTGGCAAGGTGCAGGTTGCAATGAAGCAATTAGCTCCATCGCAGCCAGCTCCAGCACACAGCTTCAATGCAAGG